TGTGAAATGTGGAACAAGTTATCAGCGACAAAGAAATCTAACTGATCACCTTAAAACATGCACCGGACAAATCAACAAGCGTAGATTAACACAAACAACCGAGATTGAAGACCCAGATGAGAAGAGGAGGAGAGAGGAGGCCGAACAGATCGCCTACGAAGTATCCTTTTTATTAAGTAAAGTAACGCACTCAAACGAATTTATCCATAGGCATGAATAAACACAGGAACACAGAGGTCCCATCACCTCATTTAAATTATTATCTAGTGATCGTTTTGGTTTTTGGGTTTTCATACACCATATTACATCACCATATTACTATTGATAGTCATATATAGTTAATGAATAATACAACTTATACTATACAGCGTTTTTGTTAAAAATTATGTCAAAAACAACAATGTACCGTATATATTAAGACAAGGCATGGTAAATTTTTTTATCGATCAAAAAAATGTTTTTGCTGGTTGTTATTAAAAAAACAATTGGATAAGATGTTGATAAAATTATCATCAAAACATTAGTATTATTTAAATTACAATAATTGTWTATTTTTGACATAATTTTCGCAAAACCATGTGTTTTATTACATGGGACATATTTCATAGTGTAAACCAATTAGAACTGCCATACAAATTTCCTTAACATTTTAACAGATTGCCAACATTCCCGAGGAAATGTTTCAAGAGTACGATGGACCACTTCTCGAGGATCAGGAGGGTGAAGGACAAGTAGTAAAGGAAGAGTGTACTCTCGATGAGAATGCCACCATTTCCAAGTACCAACCCAACAAACAACAAAAGCACGATCTCCTTCTCACACTTCAAGAAAAGAAAAAAACAATCGTAAATCAACTTCATAAACAACTCAAGAAGAAAYGGGGTATCAAGTGGTTTTTGTCTAGTAATGTCAAGATGGTCAAGACCAAACCTGAGGGAGATGACGAGGTAGCCACCCCCCACTTCCGAAGCAAGTGCAACACGACTATGCACGCTAACACCATAGAAGAACAATATGACGAGGCAGTAGAAAAGATAAAGACCTCCTTTTTAGAGTATCAAAAGGAGGGGAGTGGTTGGCAAATGGATGAAGTCCTTCATCTAGATTTGGGTGTGGCCACCTACACCCCCATAAGTGGAGCTACCTACTTAACACTCCCAAAGAGGATTAAAGACAAGAAGGCAGTCTTGAATATCCAAAACAAGGACCAAAAGTGTTTCCTCTGGTCTGTTTTAGCCGCTATTTATCCTGTTTCCTGGGGATCACATCCACACCGTGTTCAGCACTATTTAAGGTATGAGCATGAAATTGACATGCAGAACATTAGTTATCCTGTCAAGATATGTGATGTTAAGAAATTTGAGAGACAAAATGCGATCAGTGTAAACGTGTTTGGATTTGAGGATGATGAACTTTTCCCTCTAYACATCACCAAACAAAAACAAGAACGTCATGTTAACTTATTATTATATAGTCAGAATGATAAGAGACATTAYTGYCTCATTAGAGATTTAGATCGATTATTAGACAGCATGAGTCGATACGAGCATCGTATGYACCATTGTGTGTACTGTTTGCATGGCTTTGTTCGCCGAGATTTATTGGAAGACCACGAGCCTCACTGTGCTCGTCATGGTCCACAAAAAATCAAATTACCAGATGGAGACAATAGTACATTATACTTCCAAGAAATACAAAAACAACTCCAAGTTCCGTTTATCATATACGCGGATTTCGAGTCACTTTTAGTTAAGTGTGACAATACTCCTTTGAAGGATAACGTAAGCGGTACACAGAAATCTCAGCACCACCAGCCCTGTGGGTTTGGTTATGTTGTCGTGTCTACATTAGAGCAATATAATCAACCCCCAGTGGTCTATCGTGGAAGAGATTGTGTAGATCGATTTTTAGAGTGTTTGTTGAAAGAGGAGAAACGCATAAGCAACATCCTCGATCACGTGACCCCTATGGTCATCACTCCAGAACAAGAACAACAATTTCGACAGGCAAGTGACTGTCATATTTGTGKGGATCCCTTAGGTGTGGATCGTGTTCGCGATCATTGCCATGTCAGCGGTTTGTATCGCGGGCCCGCCCATAACCAGTGCAATTTGAATTATAAGTTCACGGGGAGAATTCCCGTGGTATTRCATAACCTTCGAGGGTATGAYAGTCACTTGATCTTGCAAGGATTAGGTAAAATAAAATCGGAAAAGATCACCTGTATCCCTAACAATACAGAGAAGTATATATCCTTCTCAGTAGGAGAMCTAGTTTTTATTGATAGCCTTCAATTTCTCAACAGTTCATTGGAAAGACTGGTGGATAATTTAAGCAAGGAGGGGGTTGATAAATTCAAGGTACTGAGAAAGCATGTAGACATCGATAAGATTCACTTATTGTTAAGGAAGGGGGTATATCCCTATGAGTATTTAGATTCCTTTGAAAGGTTTGAGGAACCCATGTTGCCGAGGATTCATCACTTTTACAGTACGTTGACGGGAAGTACGGTATCAGAAAGTGATTATGCYCATGCGCAAAGGGTATTCGAGGCCTTTCAATGTAGGCATTTGGGGGATTACCATGATTTATATCTCAAATCTGACGTCTTATTGTTAGCCGACGTATTTGAGAATTTTCGTAGTATATGCCTGAATTRCTATAAATTGGATCCAGCCAATTTCTACACTTCACCAGGCCTAGCATGGACCGCATGTTTAAAGATGACTGGGGTGGAGTTGGAATTGGTGACTGATCCAGACATGTATTTATTCATAGAGGAGGGGTTACGTGGTGGAATATCGATGATTACGCATCGTTATGCCAAAGCCAATAACCCCTATGTGCGTTGTTATACACCAGAACAACCGCATAATTATATCATGTATTTAGACATGAATAATTTATATGGAACGGCAATGAGTGAGCCACTCCCTGTCAACAACTTTAGCTGGTTGACCCCTCATGAGATCGAGGAGGTCAAGGAAAAACTCATGACCCTTCCAGCAGACGGAGMAGAGGGCTATATCCTAGAAGTGGACCTTGAGTACCCTGAAGAAATTCACAAACAGCACAACGATTACCCACTAGCACCAGAGAGACTCGAGGTTCCACGGGATTGGCAATCTCCTTATTGCCATCAACTTTTGGAGGATTTACAAATGAAATACAGTCCCACACAGAAACTGGTCCCAAACTTAAATGATAAAGACCACTACATTATTCACTATCGCAACCTACAGCAATACCTAGCCTTGGGGATGAAACTTAAGAAAATCCATCGCGTCATCAGTTTCAGTCAGTCCCCCTGGCTCAAGGCCTATATCGATTTTAACACAGACAAACGAAAGCAGGCACGGAACGACTTTGAGAAGGACTTTTTCAAATTAATGAACAATTCCGTTTTTGGAAAAACWCTTGAGAATTTGCGTAAACGTGTTGACGTGAAGTTAGTCAACACGAAAAAACAATTCAAGAAACTGTCAGCTAAGCCTCAGTTTGATTACTTCAGGATATTCAATGAAGACCTGGTGGCAGTGAACATGAAGAAGCCCTCCCTCTATTTGAATCGACCCATCTATGTGGGGTTTACGATCCTCGAGTTGTCCAAAACCTTCATGTACGATTTTCACTACAACGTGATTAAAGCAAAGTATGAAGATCAAGCCACCCTTCTCTTCACCGACACAGACTCTCTCTGTTACTCCATTGAAACCAAGGACATTTACGAAGATATGAACGAAGACCTCGAACTCTATGACACATCAGAATANACATGTTTTGAGAAATATACATTAGCTTACACTGTCATTTTTGAATGTCGTAAAAAGTCCCGACTTTCCCGACTTTCCTGTTTTTGAGTGTTAAATTTCTGAAACACGGGAAACGCGGGACATAAATTACTAGCGTATTAGATATATTTTCATTTTCATATCAAGAACTGGAAATGTCAAGACCTAAARATTGYCCTATCCCAAAGTGTCAGTCRAGAGGATTAATCAAACTATCCAATCATTTAGCGGATGTTCATTTATTGAGTTCGTTAGAAAGGAAACCCTGGTTGCAGGTGGCAAAACATAAAAATAAACATACTGACACACTAATGTCACTTCTTCGTCAACCTTTAACTGATATGGATGTTCGATTCAAATTTCCCTGTTCTMTGGYGCTCTGCGGAGSAAGYGGGTGTGGAAARACAACCTTTTGTGAACGATTGCTTAGACACTTGRGGGACATGTTTGATCAGAAAATCGAACGGATAGTTTATTGTTATGGTGAATTYCAACCTCGATTTCTTATCATGGAAAAAGAGATACCTAATTTAACGTTTGTYAAGGGGTTTCCTGAAGATATTTATTCACTCTTCGATAAGACACCTGGATTGATTATCTTGGACGATTTAATGAGTGAATATTCAACTAATGATGGAATGATGGACTTAATGACAAAGGGATCCCATCACCGGAACATCGCTTGTATACGACTAGCTCAAAACTTATTCTACGGTGGAAAACACTCGAGGACTATTTCTCTCAACACTCATTACATCGTGGCCTTCAAAAATCCTAGRGATTCCCTCGGCATCTCCACCTTAGCTCGYCAAGCCTTTCCGAGGGCAGTGCSCCACGTSCTAGAGAGTTTTGATGACGCTACAARAAATCCGTTTTCCTACCTCCTAATGGATTTTCATCCCTCTACACCAGACCACCTCCGATTGCGAACTTGTATTTTCCCAGACGAATTGCAGGTGGTGTACGTTAAACGTTCATAAACCCTAACACAACAAAACATTGCTTCATTTGATCATGTCACAGCGCATGAAACACAACCTGGATCTTCTACGTGTTTTGGCTCGTTCAAGTCCTAAACAGAGAAAAGCCCTCCTACAAACTTGTCACATCGACTTGATCAAGTGTTTAGCTGAAATTTCACTTAACGTTTTAAGTGGTGTGGTACCCATTAGCGAGAAACAGAAGAAGAAATTGAAACGTTACAAGTCCCTTTTGAGAGCCTTGGCTGATAAGAAAGTCTCTCTGAAAACCAAAAAAGMTAAAATCCAGCAAAGCGGGGGAAATCTTTTAAGTCTTCTTCTTCCTCCTGTATTATCTGCCCTTGGGAGTTTGTTGATAAAATGAAATTCACTCGAAAGATGGTACTGGTTCCAGAGGAGGTGTTGAATTTGATACAACAAAGAACCAACCTCGAGACCTCTCCTTTAATGARATCGATGAGCACACTAAGCCAGCAAATGGATGAAACTCTGGCAAACCCRAACCTCCCAGACGGTATCAAACTCAAAAATCACGAACAACAGTTTCAACGTTTTCTCAATTTACAAGAACAACATGAAAGTATTGTCCCAACGGTTAAAATCCAATCCAACACGCCTCTACCACAGGAAACCCAAACACTCCAAGAAGCACCACAGGAACCCCAAACTCTGGCAGTGAGTGATGCTGAAATTTTAAGAACTGTTCCCAAGAAATTCAAAAGTCAAGCTGAGGGTTTGCTGCAGTGGATAAAGAAGTCTCCTGAAAGTATCCAGTGGGATGATAAGGGTGTGGTTTCTTTAGAGGGGAAACCTCTAAGTGGTTCAAGCATTACCGATCTCGTCAACRATGCCTTAAGAAATCGAAGGGGRTTTTCACCCACCGGGCGAGACAGTTTCACCAAAGTCCTAGCTAAACTGAACACTCCTGAGGACTTTGTACGAAATGAGGATAGACGAAGGATAATGTCTTCATTCAAGAAARGYCCAAGACTACCACCCTCCACCCCTGAAWTCGATTYGATATTTCCAAGTCCACCTACCCAACCTCGAAAGAAAGCCATTCCTCCTTTTCGAAATAGGAAATTAAAAGCTTCTATAAAAAGAGGACTGTCGTGGATTCCTTATGAGTGATTTGTACTTTAAAAAAGAAAATCAATAAATAAAGTTTCTTAACCCTTTATTGTTCTATTAATTCTTCTACAAATGTGTTAACGTATACATCATTTTTTCTTCGATTATTACTAAATCGGTTTACAATTGCATCCATGCTCACTCCTCTAGCACGGTGCATTAAATAATACACACAGTATTGTCCACAAACTCTACTCGTATTACTTTGGAGTACTTTTGAATTGAAACTCCAGTTCTTCACATTTCGGTTCAAAAAGTTAACAAAATGAGTGCTATAAAACTGTGGTGGGTTTCCATAACTGTCAAAAAATTCTCCTTTTTTGGGTGACGATAGATAGAAGCTAACCCAGTGTGAGCCTCTCTCCTCTTTYCCATCGCAGTTYGCAACAAAACCACAAGGGAAGTGTTCAATTTTCCTTGGTAGAGTRTCTGCGGCGTAAACTCCACAAAATTTGAGACCTCCTATGGGGTCACTCCCTAATATTTCCTCAAGTTGACTAGTGTTCATATCGAGTAATCAAAGGTCACGTGTCTTGAATAATCAATTTCCAYAACCGACTCAAATTCAGCATAAACTATCAAATTGATAGCGTTGGGGAGACCCTTTGTGAATTGAATTTCCAGAGAAACGTTTCCTTTCTGCTTCGGGTTGAAATGATACGAACTGCTACACAGGTCGGGGGTTAAATCAAAAGCAAAAAGGCCATAACCACGGGTATATTCACTGCGATCAATATCGATTCCAGAGTCTGCAAACAGTCTWCCGGTTCCAGAAAATAGGGACTGATAAGCCTCCGTGAAGTTTCGCTCACGAGCACTTCCCAATTTCAGGTTRATTCCTTGAAATGGGTAACTTTCTCCGTCCACACGGAKTTTCAAGGCACTTGCATCATAGAGTTTGAAGTTATAAGGATTTTTAGTATAACTCCCATTGAAGGCATCCGAATCTACCATGCCTAACACAATTCGTTTGGGCACCTTTCCATTAAATATATCTCCTTTATGAATAGAAGGATTTCCACTAGGAATGGTATAGGTCTTGCACTCTGTGCGGCGTATGGGGTATTTCGCATTGRTACCGCTCTTCAATTGATTCAAATGTTCGACCTGAGTCTCAGGGCTAACTTTGACAGCTCTRACTTTCAAAACCGCATTTTGGATATCAATTTTGTAATTGGGAGAGGTTTCTCCAGACATCAAGGTGAAGGCAGGTGGATTAGGAATGAGTTTGACGGTGACGTTCACATTGTTTAGCAAAAGACGTTCACTGAAAAACATATCACAGTGTAATGGTCCCCACATGTCACAAATGTAGCTCTGTTCTGTAAATGTGTAACGGGTTTTAAGTCCTTGATTTGTTCCACCACTTGTTGGATCGGTGGCTTCCATAGAGCCTGCTGTATCTTTGTAGAAGAGAGATCCTGTGAGGGCTGAATTCTTTGCTGCTGGTCCATAGTTGAGTGTCGTTTCGAAGTACCCTTTGTAACTGTAAGTTCCTGAAGCTTGCGTAACTARAACACCGTTGAGGTATACTTCCACCTGTCTGAATAAACTTTGCAAAGGCAAATTTACAAAGGCCACTTTCTCTTTGTCATCTAGGTCAGTCCCATTGGCTTTGGTTATTTTCAAGGTGATAAAAAACAAGGTTTTGGATAAGTCTAGATAATTTTCCGATCCCACGATCTGGTACTCAATTGGAGTGAGCTGTGCGATTGTGGCCACAGGTCTGTTATCTATCCAAAACCCTTTCTCTATGTCTACTTGGGTTTCTGGAACCGTAAATAAGTCCAACTCACTTTTGGAACATGGAGCGGAGTGTGGATGAACGAAGGCCATTTTTCACTTGTCAAATATATCCTTAAGGTGAGTGACTTTAGATTTTTTTACCTTCCCCAGTGRTTTCTTTGCTTGTTTAGCTCTTTTCACTTTGCTGGTCTGGGAGGTTCTGATGCTTTTCTGTGGTCGTTTTCGTTTTATACCTTTTGCTCCACTTCCAGTCTGAGCGGAGATACGATTCAAGGCCTGTTCTTTCAACGTTTGAGCGGTTTGCCGTACCCTGGATTTTGCTGAATTTTTAAGATTTTTTCCCGCCAAAACGTCTTGAGCGACATTCACACCAGTTTTAATTGCAGCTCGACCTAAGGCTTTTGCCCCTTTYTGGAATAAAGGAAGGGCTCGTCTTGCTAGTGATGCAAAAAAACTTCCAATTCCATGACCTCTTTGAAATGGAGCCCCGTGAAAAACCATCATTTTYCCCACCTCTTTGTGTTATTAAAAGAAGGRAKAACGACGACGTCTGAARTTTAATGTTACCACAACGCGACCACGTTCAAATGGAATCTTAGTACCTGTGTCATCGGTTAAATATAGTTCGAGAATTTCAAAGTCTTTGGTTTCAACAGGGATGAACTGAGGGTTATCATAATTGATGGTGATGACTTCACCATTTCGACCTCGAGCAGGTACAGTGCGCAGAAGAGCAGCTTGTACATCACCAACGATTTGAGACTTGACTATGTTAAGGTAGATGAATATGGATTGAAATCCTACATTGATATCGCTGACATAAGGTGCTGTTGTGGTTTTAGAAAGCACAATATCACTTCCAAATCCTAGCAGGATTCCCAATCGGTTTTCAAAACTTAATCTTTGGTTCTTTCCAAGTATAACAGTCACTTTTTGAGATCGCTTTTCTACCGCTAATGAAATTCCCTTAATCTTGTTGTTGGATAGAGTTGAATTCATGATATTGATAATATCGGAGATACTGCTATAGTACCCATTTGGAATGATTATGACGTCGAAGAATCCATCACCCTTATCACAAAAAAAACGATGATCGCCATCTCCTATTGTGTACCAAGTGTGTGGAAATGTAATGGAAGCCAGCCCCACCTCCCAATTTCCATCTAAATTCACGTGTGATGGTAGTTTGATTTTGAATTCGCTAAGTGTATT